CAGAGTCACACAGAGTCACACAGAGTCACACAGAGTCACACAGAGTCACACAGAGTCACACAGAGTCACACAGAGTCACACAGAGTCACACAGAGTCACACAGAGTCACTCAGAGTCACACAGAGTCACACAGAGTCACACAGAGTCACACAGAGTCACACAGAGTCACACAGAGTCACACAGAGTCACACAGAGTCACACAGAGTCACACACAGTCACACAGAGTCACACACAGTCGCACACAGTCGCACACAGTCGCACACAGTCGCACACAGTCGCACACAGTCGCACACAGTCGCACACAGTCGCACACACGCACACACGCACACACGCACACACGCACACACGCACACACGCACGCACGCACGCACGCACGCCACGCACGCACGCACAGCACGCACGCACACACAACACACACACACACACACACAACACACACACACACCACAGACACACACACAAGCACACACGCACACAACGCACGCACGCGCGCATTACGCACACACGCACACACGCACACACGCACACACGCAACCACACACGCGCACACACACAACAACACACAACACACAACACACAACACACAACACACAACACACACACAACAAACACAACACACACAACACACACAACACACACACACACACCAACACACCACCAACACACACACACAACACACACACCACACACAACACACCACACACACACACACCACACACACACCACCACACACACAACACACACACACCACACACACACCACACACACAATCACACCCCAAACACCCCGACGCACCCCCCCCACACACACACACACCCTAGACCCCCCACACACCCAAGCACCCAAGCACCTACACACCCACAGACCCCACGCACCCACCCCCCCTTACACCCCCGCCACCCCCCCCCCACCCACATACCTACCCGCCCCGCCCCCCCCCCACACGCACACATACGACACCCGCCCTCCCCCCCCCCCCACACACACACACACACATACACGAACACACAAACACACAAACACAAAACACACACACACAAACACAAACAGCCACACACACACACACGCACAAACGCACACAAACACAACCACAAGCACACACACACACGCACACACACACGAGCACACACAACACACAACACACAAACACAAGCACAAACGCAACCACAACCACAACCACAAACGCACACACAGCCACAAGCACAAACACACACGCACACACAACATCACACACAAGCACACACAACACACAAACCACAACACACAACACGCAACACACAACACACACCACACACCACACATCACATGCACACACACACTCGCTCTCTCTCAAACACACACACACACAAACGCACACAAACACACAAACACAGTCACAGTCACAGTCACAGACACAGGCACATATGCAGGCACAGGCACACACAGACATAGACACACGTACACACATAACCACAGACACAGACACAACCACAGACACAACCACAAACAACACACCCAAGAACAAGCACACCAACACAACCACAAACACAAGCACAAACACAACCACAATCAGAAACACACACACAAACATACACAAATACAAACACAAACACAAACACAAGCACCAACACACACTCAAACACACATACACACACACGCGCTTTGTTAAGCCGGCGGCGCAGAGGAGCCTCAGGCGCGGTCGGAAGGTGGAGGTGCCAATTGCGAACGAACTTAGTCGAACGCGCCACGATGACCACAATCCAGTCACAGCCATGCAGATAGGTGGTGAAAAAAAGGGAGGCGGACAACCGCGGAGCACGGAAGCAACACTGCACCCGGGGAAGGGGTCGGGACCTCCCCAGACATTTTTTTCGTAGCTGTGCGGCAGAGGCGATCCGCTCGCGCGCGCTAGTAGCCGGGGGCGCGCGGCGGAAGGAGAAGGAGGGCAGCCTGGCGGGGGAGGAGGGCACCCACCGCGGAGAGAGTTTCGGGACGAGCGGCCGGTGCGGCCAGCCTGTGCTGGGCGAGCTTGCGGGACGGGACCTCCTCAGACGTGCGACGTCCTGACGTTTGCAGCACGCGGTCCTCAGCGGCCCCGACCCCTTCCCCAGGACCTGCTCTGCGTCCCGAGTCGTCTTTTGACTGTCCCGGGGCCCGGCGAAGAGCCCCCAGAGTCCGAGCACGATGAGAAACCGCCGTGCGGCACGGTTTACGACGCGCCCATGTCTGGGGCTGGGGCCGCGGAGGGGTCGTGTCTTCGGATGTCCGGGTCCACGCAGCCGAGGGGGGCCCTCTTGGGAGGGAGGGGTCGGGGGCCTCGGAGATCAAGGGATCGGGGAGACGTCAGACTCGGGTTGCGGGGGGCTGGGCTTGGCCTGACGGGGCCGCCAGAAAACTGGTGAGACCCGATCTGGAACTCGCCGCGAGCTTCCGCTGTAAAAAATGCCCCCCCGCACACTGCACCGTCCCAGTCCGGGGACGGTCGGCTGCACGCAAAGAGCGCCCCCCAGGCAAGACTGCCCTCCGGCGCGGGCCGTAACGGGGGGGGGGCGCGGGCGTGCCAAGCCCGAGCGCGGAAGCCGCTGCTGCCGCATCGCACTCGGCCATCTGGGGACCCCAGCGTGCCCGCAGCAAAGGTCCCTCCGGCGAGAGGTCTCTCGTACGTGCAGCCCAGACTATAGAGGCCTCCCAGATGGGGTCGGAGTAGATGGAGACGGAGGATCGCGCCGCATCGCCGATGCATCGGCGATGCATCGGCGACGTCGGCGATGCATCGGCAACGTCGGCGTGGAGAAAATCGGGCTCCGCATCGAGCCGCATCGCCGAGGCATCAGCGATGCGGCGGGATCCTCCGACCCCATCTGCTCGGACCCCATCTGGGAGGCCTGGAGAGACGGGCTCGCCAAGGAGCGCCAGCACAGCGGAGCTCCAGCGAGTGCGAGCTTCACCGTCGTCACCGTCGCCGTCGTCGCCGTCGTCGCCATCGTCGTCGTCGCCGTCGTCGCCGTCGTCGCCGCCGTCGCCGCCGTCGCCGCCGTCGTCGTCGTCGTCGTCGTCGTCGTCGTCGTCGTCGTCGTCGTCGTCGTCGTCGCGCTTCCCCGAGGAGGCCGGGGGCTCCGAGGGCGCTGGGTGGGGGGGCCCCCGCGGGTCTCCCCGCCCCTCCCGAGGGAGAAGGCCCTCGCGAGCCCCCCTTGCCCTGGCGCCTCTCCTCCCCCCCCTGGGTGCTGTGCGCGCCGGCCGCCCCAGGAGGAGTTGGGGGGGGGGGGGGCGGGGCGAGGAGGAGGAGGAGGAGGAGGAGGAGGAGGAGGAGGAGGAGGAGGAGGAGGAGGAGCGGTGCAGTCGCAACTTACCAGCCTCGAACGTATCCCCATCCCTAAGATTGACACGCCAAAAGGCGATGACAATCCTAGGGATTCGCCGTCAAAAAATAGGGGAATCCCTGAGATTGGCATCGTGATGAGGAGGTGCCCAGCATAGGGATAAGGATATGCTCCAGGCTGGTAAGCAACGTGTGGCGGTGAACGGTGGTGCACGCCGGTCGGAAGAAGTAGTAGGTCAGAGCACATGGAGCAGGAGGGCGGACGAAACACGTTGGGGGTCGAGGGGGGTCGAGGGGGGCGGGGGGGGGGGGGGAAGCGGTGCAGTCGCAACGTGTGGCGGTGAACGGTGGTGCACGCCGGTCGGAAGAAGTAGTAGGTCAGAGCACATGGAGCAGGAGGGCGGACGAAACACATTGGGGGTCGGGCCCTCCAGGAGAACAACACGACAAATCAAGACCGTGCCGCTTCTCGAAGTGGGAAGGCGCTAGAAATTGATGGGGATTTGGGGATCCAAAGCCCACTGGGGAATTGTTGTTTGGGGGAACGATGCAGTCGAAACGTGTACAGAAGTAGAAGAAGATGAATAATAATATTAGTCATAAGAAGAACAATAATAATCATACTAAGAACATAACGGCATGAACATCAACTTTTGGCGCTCCCCGCGGACTTCTTGGATCTGCACTGGAGCCCCCTCCCTGGCGCGCGGAGCGCGCCAGGGGCGGCGCCGGAGGCGCTGCCAGGGGGGCCCAGCGCGGATTCAAGAGATCCGCGCGGAGCGCCCAAAATTGATGTTTATGGCATTGTTTCTTCCTCGACTGTAGCATTGGACGGTGGTAAGGACGTAAAACCTTTGCAGGCAGCAATTGGGACGTTTGGGGCGGCTGGCGACCCGTGAAAATAGCAAAGGCCCGGCCGCAGGGGCAAGGACACAAGGGCACCCTAGATGAAGGCGCGCGTCCTCACTAGGCGCGTTGACTGTAGTCGGGCGCGCGATATTATGGATTAGGGATCCGTGGATCTGGGAAGGCACCCCCGACACATACGGCCAATGCCGCCTCATTCGGCGACAACGCGCGCCGATTCCGCATGGAAACGGGGCCCCTCGCTAAACCGCGCGCCGTGACCCACGTGAGCGTTCCCTCGAGACCCCGGGGGCAGGGATGTTGACTTGGAATCGGCGGTGCATCGCAGGCAGATCGGCGACAGGCCCTCGACGGCGAGATCTCGCGTGACCCTCTCGGCGACGGATGGGTGATCGGGGGGTCGATGTGCTCACCCTGGCTTTCGGGCCATGACTCGGCTTTCTGGCGGACGTCCGGGACGGTCGGGGCATCCCTGGAACGTTCTCGGCGAGGCGCAGCCGTTGAGAGACATCCCGAGGCTGGGAAACCGCTGAGAGCAAGTGGAAACGCGCGAAATCGGCGATCGGAGGTCGATGTTCCCCTGTCGGTGGCGGAGGCGGGTGGCTGCTGCCCCCCCTGCCTGCCTGCCTCCCTCCCTCCCGCCCACCCTCATCGGTCCTCCCCACGCCCTCTTCCCGATCCTCCTCCTTCCCCTCCGTCCTCCGTCCTCCTCCTCCTCCTCCTCCTCCGCCTCCCTCCTACTCCTCCCTCCGTCCTCCGTCCTCCTCCTCCTCCTCCTCCCTGGCCAGGAGGGGGGCGGACTGGATCGGCGGTCGCTCTGACGATGGCACCCCGGTGCCCACACCCCGTGCGGGCGGCCGCTCCGAGACCCTGTCCAGGTCCTCGCGGCTCAGGGAGGCAACGTGCTCGCCCCACTCCCCGAGCGAGAAGACGGGCGGCTCTCCCCGGACCTGGGGGCCTCCTCTTCCTCCTCCTCCTCCTCCGCCTCCTCTCCTCCTCCTCCTCTCCTCCTCCTCCTCCTCTTCCTCCTCCTCCTCCTCCTCCTCCTCTCCTCCTCCTCCTCACATCCTCCTCCCTCCTCCTCCTCCTCCTCCTCCTCCTCCTCCTCCTCCTCCTCCTCCTCCTCCTCCTACGCACCATCCTCCTCCTCATGTCCTCCTCGGGGGAACTGGCACAGGGGGGGGGGGCGTATCGACCTGGACTCGGCGATACCTCGCCGATAGATCGGCGGTATGCCCCCGAGAGTGAGTCCGCACGCTCCTGGGCAGGGTGGGGCTATCGGGTACCCATCGGGGCACAAGAAGGGGACGCATGGACCTGGACTCGGCGATACATCGCCGCTGAATCGTCGGTGGGCCCACGATAGTGAGTCCGCACGTTCCTGGGCAGGGTGGGGCTATCGGGTACCTCTCGGCGAACAATGGGCGATTGGGGGTCGATGCATCCCCCCCTGTGCCTATCTCCCCCTATCGTTGCCCCCGATGACCTCCTTGATCGCGATGGACATGACATCCATGGCGGCGGCCTTGCTGAGCTCTGGCTCCCCTGGTAACAGGTCGACGACCAGCGACTTTGCAAGATCGCGAATATTAGCCTCGGGCATTTCGGCCAACTGGAGCCGCAACTCCTCGGGAGCCTCCCTCGCCGCTTGCCTGATGATCGGCGGCGAGCGAGGGGGAGTGTAAGGGAGAAGGCGAAGGCCTTCTCGGGAGGCGGCGAGGCTTCTCAGAAGCCCTCGGGGCTTATGAGGAGTTTTCAGCGTCTTCGGGGAAGGCATAGAACACTTCTCAGCAGGCCGGGGAGCTTCCGAGCCTTCTGGGAAGGCCCACCCCGTCGCCCTCCCTCCCTGGCTCGCCGCCGAGATGCGGGCCGGGGCGATGGGGCACGGCGCGCGAGTCTTCTGCACCATGCCCTTGGTGAACGCGTTGGTGGCCACAATGTCCCGGAGCTCCTCGGAGCTCCCCGCGCTCACGCGCGCCCCGGTGAGGAAAGCGCGCTTCACCGCGTCGGCGTGGTGCGCGCGCCAGGACCTCGCCGGCGGGAACACGAACGCCCCCAGGCCTTGGGAGGGCGCCGGCGCGCACGCGCGAGCGCCTGCCCCGGCCGCGCCCGCCCCGGGGCCCAGCGGCTCGGGTGCTGCGCACGCCCAGCACCGCGCCCGCGATCTCTGCAGAGGCCTCCCAGATGGGGCCTGAGCTGGCCATCACTCGGACGTCTATGCCTTGCTTTACTCGGTGTCGTGCGTGTTTTGTCGTGCAGGACGATCCAGGATGCTCCTGAACAGTCCCCGCCGAGAAGAGGTGCACACGTCCGAGCGATGCCAGGCGAGGAGATGGGGGTCCGGACCCAGACCCCCGCGGGCGATGAACAAATCGTGACTGGGAACCGTTCGCTGGTGTCGGCTCCTGGGGGCCCTACGGGCCCCCGGGGCCGTCAGAACACGACTCAGGATGGGAAACTGGCTCCGGGGAATGGGTCGAGACTTTTGGGGGATCGACGTCATGAGAAAGTCATGATCATGACGTCGGAGGAGACGGGGTCGGAAATGGGGTCGGAGGAGATAAGGGGTTCGAGGAGATGGGGTCGGAGGACAGCGCTGCATCGGCGGTGCATCGGCGACGTGGCCGATGCCCCCGCGACGCCGGCGTGGAGGAGAAGGCCGGGCTCCACATCGAGCCGCATCGCGGATGCATCGGCGACGCGGCGCTATCCGCTGACCCCATCTCACTGACTCTGACCCCAACACGAGTCTCCCGGTCGCTCGTGTTCGGCTGTGCTTCTTAGGGGGAGGAGGAGGAGGAGGAGGAGGAGGAGGAGGAGGAGGAGGAGAGGGAGGAGGAGGAGGAGGAGGGGAGGAGGAGGATGAGGAGGAGGAGGAGGAGGAGGTGAGGAGGAGGAGGCCCACAGAGGTCCCGAGACCCTGGGCCGGGGAGGGGCCCGGCCGAGGCCGGTGCACGCGCACGGCCCTCCCCCGCAGGCCGTCCACTGCGCCCCCGGCGGTGCGGCTGGCGGGCTCGGCGCGCGCCGCGCGGTCCAGCGACGCCTGCCGCAGCTCCGCGGCCACCTGCGGCGCGCGCTCCCCCAGCCGCTCGCGCGCGGCCGCCGCCGCCGCGCTCTCGCCGAGCCAGTCGCGCGCCAGGCCGAGGTGGCCGCAATCGGGGGCGCGGAGGGGCGTGAGCCAGACTCGCTCGGGCCTCGCGTCCGGGGCCGGGTAGGGGGACCACTGGTGCACCTCCGGAGGCATTCAAAACAGCGGGCCCCCACCTGTGCGTGCGTGTGTGCGACCTGGTTCAGGCGCTGGTTCTCGCCAGCCGCATCCTGCCGACGCTCTCTCTCGTCTGCCCTGCTGCTGCCGCCGCCGCGCTCCCGTCCGCGGCAGTCTTGCCCCGCCCCGACGGGACCGTGGAGGCACCAGCTCGAGCACTGAACGAGGGCCGAGATTCTGCCCCCCTCCTACCATAGGCCCGAGGCCACGGGCTGTGCAGGTCGAGCACCCAGCGGAGGGCGAAGGAGTAGAAGAAGATGAAGAAGAAAACGAGCAGGAGTAACACGGATCATATTGTTATCCTACTACGGTTACTACTACTTCAAAATGAATTGATAGTACTAGGAATGCTCGGGCCACTACGACGACTACTACTACTACTGCTGCTTCTACTACTACTACTACTACTACTACTACTACTACTACTACTACTACTACTACTACTACTACTACTACTACTACTACTACTACTACGACTACTACGACTACTACTACTACTACTACTACTACTACCACTACTTCTACTACTACTACTACTACTACTACTACTACTACTACTACTACTACTACTGCTACTACTACTACGACTACTACTACTTCTACTACTACTACTACTACTACTACTACTACTACTACTACTACTGCTACTACTACTACTACTACTACTACTACTACTACTACTACTACTACTACTACTACTACTGTACTACTACTACTACTACTACTACTACTACTACTACTACTACTACTACTACTACTACTACTACTACTACTACTACTACTACTACTACTAATACTACTACTACCACTACAACTACACAACAACACTACTACTACTACTACTACTACTACTACTACTACTACTACTACTACTACTACTACTACTACTCCTACTACTACTACTACTACTACTACTACTACTACTACTACTACTACTACTACTACTACTACTACTACTACTACTACCCGTACTACTGCTACGACGACTGCTACGACGACGACTACTATACTCGGACTGCGACTACGACTACTACTACTATATCAACAGTTACTACTACTTCTACTATTACTACTACTACGACTACTACTACGACTAATACTACTACTACTACTACTACGACTACGACAAGGACTACTACTTCTCATACTGCTACTACTACTACTACTACTACTACTACTACTACTACTGCTACTGCTACTACTACTACCACTACTGCTACTCCGACAAGCACCACACGTTCTTCATTAGTTCTTTTACTACTGCTACTGCTGCTACAAGTACTGCAAGTGGACATAGTAGTAGTAGTAGTAGTAGTAGTAGTAGTAGTAGTAGTAGTAGTAGTAGTAGTAGCACTCGTAGTAATAGTAGTGGTAGTAGTCGTAGTGGTAGTAGGAGTAGTAAGTATAATGGTAAGTAGTAGTAGTAGTAGTAGTAGTAGTAGTAGTAGTAGTAGTAGTAGTAGGCCGTAGTAGTAGTAGTAGTAGTAGTAGTAGAGTAGTAGTAGTAGTAGTAGTAGTAGTAGTAGTAGTAGTAGTATAGTAGTATATAGTAGTAGTAGTAGTAGTAGTAGTAGTAGTAGTAGTAGTAGTAGTAGTAGTAGTAGTAGTAGTAGTAGTAGTAGTAGTAGTAGTGGTAGTAGTATCAACAGTTGTAGTCCTAATGATAGTAGTACTACTACTGCTACTAGTACTACAGCTACGACTATTACTACTACTGGCACTACTACTCCCACTACTTCTGCTACTACTACTACTAGAACTACTACTGCGACTACTACGACTAGTAGTACTACTACTCCTACTATTACTACTACTACTACTACTACTACTACTACTACTACCACTACTACTAGTACTACTACTACTACTACTACTACTACTACGCCCTCGACAACATCGCGTACTACTACTACTACTACTACTACTCCTACTACTACTACTACTACTACTACTACTACTACGGGTACTACTGCTACTACGAAAGCTACCACTACCATTACGACTACGTCTACGAGTACGACTGCGACTACGAGTACGACTACGACTACGACCACTACTACTACTACTACTACTACTGCAACTGCTTCTGCTACTGCTAGTACTGCTGCTACTACTACTACTACTACTACTACTACTACTACTCCTACTACTACGACTACGACTACTGCTGCTAATACTACTTCTACTACAACAACTACTACTACTACTATCAGTACGTCTATCACTAGAACTAATACCACTACTACTACTACTACTACTACTACTACTACTACTACTACTACTTACGCTACTCGTACTCCTGATCCTATTACTGAAACTTTTACTCCTTTAACTCCCACTACTAGTCCTGCTCCTACTACAACTGATACTACTACCACTACTACTACATATACTGCTGCTAATACTATTACTACCGTTACTACTACTGTGACTACTACTACGACTACTACTTCGACGACGACTTCTGCCAGTACTGTTACTACTACTACTACTACTTATGTACTACTGCTAACACTACGACTGAGACTATCATGAACGATTACGAATACGACTACGCCCGCGACTACCGTCACGGCTACCACTACCACTACCACTACCACTACCACTACCACTACCACTACCACTACCACTACCACTACCACTACCACTACCACTACCACTACCACTACCATAACTACTACCACTACTACTACTACTACTACTACTACTACTACTACTACTACTACTACTACTACTACTACAACTACTACTACTCCTACAACTACTACTCCTACTCCTACTACTACTACTACTAGCTACGACTACTACTACTACTAACTACTTACTACTACGACTACGACTACGACTACGACTACGACTACGACTACTATTACTACTACTACTACTACTACTACTATTACTACTACTACTACTACTACTACTACTACTACTACTACTACTACTACTACTACTACTACTACTACTACTACTAGTGCTAGTACTACTACTGCTACTGCCACTACTCGTGCTACTGTTACTGCTGCTACTACTACCACTATTACTTGCTCTATCACCATGATTTGTAGTGCTACTAACACCACTCCTACTCCTACTACTACTCCTACTACTCTTACTACCCATATTACTACTTTGTTATTATTACTACGGCTACGGCGACCACGGCTACTACGACTACGACTACTGCTGCTACTACTACTACTACTGCTACTACTACTACTCAGCGTGGGGGCGATCAGGGTTGCTAATTTCGGGGTGCACCCTTGCACCCTTGCACCCTTAGCCGGTAATGGTGCATCCCTGCACCCTTGCACCCTTGCACCCTTAGCCGCTAAGGGCGCAGCCTTGCCCCCTTGCACCCTTGCACCCTTAGCTAACGGTGCATCCCTGCACCCTTGCACCCTTAGCCGCTAAGGGTGCAACCCTGCCCCCTTGCACCCTTGCACCCTTAGCTAAGGGTGCAGCGGTGCACCCTTGCACCCTTGCACCCTTAGCCGCAAAGGGTGCAGCCCTGCCCCCTTGCACCCTTGCACCCTTAGCTAAGGGTGCAACGGTGCCCCCTTGCACCCTTGCACCCTTAGCCGCTAAGGGTGCAGCCCTGCCCCCTTGCACCCTTGCACCCTTAGCTGCCAGTGGGCGGCCTTACCATGGCCCGGTGGATGGCAGGGCCCACGGCCGCCGAGCTCAGTGGAACTGCATTGAAACAAAGGTTTCACGTGCTGAGCACATCTTAGAAACATATACACCTCACTCATATTTCTCCTCTTCCTCTTTTCCTCCTCCCCCTCCTCCGCCTTCTCTCCTCTTCCTCCTCCTCCTCCTTCTTTTCTCTCCTCCTCCTCCTCCTCCTCGTCCTCCTCCTGCTTCTCCCCCCCCCATCATCGCCATAAGAACCATCATCGCCCATCCCCCTCCTTCTCCTCCTCCTTCTCGTCCTCCTCCTCCTCCTCCTCCTGGTTTTTCTCCCCCCATCTCCCCTTCAATTTGTCCTCCGTGGTCGAGGCGAGCAGGCCGCGGCGGGGGCGGAGACGACGCCGAAGCTGGCCGCAACGACGACGAGGACGACCGACGCACACGGTCCGCGGACCCAGGGGGAGGCGACGCCAGCGCCTGTTCACGTCGGCACGCCCCTCACAAGATTCTAGGCCCCGTCCCAAACAGAGCGTGGCGCTCGTTCGAAAGATTTGGTCCCCATCCGGCGGGCCACTGCCATTTTCTATCATGTCTCCCTCGTTCTCTTTCTCCTTCTCTCTCTCTCTCTCTCTCCCTACTGTTTTCTCAACCCTCATCCTTCTTATGTTCCGGCGGCCGCGTGGGTCGCCCGAGCCCGAGCGCGCGGACTTCTACGGGCTTAAAGTGGCGTGGGCAGCCTGGCCGGGGAACTGGCGGCCGCCGCCAGCTCCTCGGCGCTGGCCACGGCCACGGGGGTACGCGCCACGAGCCTTTCGGCATCGGCCGCATGGCGCCGGGCCGCACCAGGATGTACACTTGCACCTTTACCCCCTTGTACACATGCGCCCTTGCACCGCTGCACCCTTGCACCCTTGCACCCTTGCACCTTTACCCCCTTGTACACATGCATCCTTGCACCGCTGCGCCCTTACACCCTTGCACCCTTGCACCTTGACCCCTTTGTACACATGCACCCTTGCACCGCTGCACCCTTACACCCTTGCACCCTTACACCCTCGCACCCTTGCAATGTTGCACCCGTGCGGCCTTGCGCCCGTACACCCTGGCACCCTTGCCCCCTTGCACCGTTGCACCCTTACGGCCTTGCACCCTTGCACCCTTGCCCCCTTGCACCTTTGCACCCTTACGGCCTTGCACTCTTCCGTGCGCCCTGGCCCTCTTGCACCTCTGCACCCTTACACCCTTGCAAGGGCGCCTTGCGACCTTACACCCCTGCACCCGTACACCCTTGCACCCTGGCACTTTTTACCCTTGCAATCTTGCACCCGTGCGCCCTG